TTCTTAGTTAAGCATGCTAATTGAACATGTCTATTACAATCTACCTTTCTAAGGAATCTGGAACCTTTATTATATTGATATTTAAAAAACTGATCATTAGGAATATTGTTTGGCTATTTTGAGAAAAATATACCAACAAGTAAATATCAGATAAAGCTTTAATGTAAGAATTTTGGAAAAATGTCAACATTATGAATCTTGCGAGACCTATGACCATTTGGTTATTTTTTTGCCATTGTTAAAAAAGCAATTATTAATTTTGAGAAGGTGAACTATTGTAATCTATTCCAGTCTATTTTAACAATGTTAGATGAATTAAAATGAAATTTAAAAACTATTTTTACATTTGGAAGGTTAGGTTATCATGGCAAAAACAACTTTTTAAAAGAGATAAACTTTAGAACAGAGGATAAACTAAAGCAAGAGAAAATACATCAATGGACAAAAACAGAAGTTAATAGTTAATTGGATTTGAAAACAAATCAAATGTTCATCTCTAAGGGAATATATAAATTATATGGTATATTTATAAAATATCCATCAACATATCAGCCTATCCAACAGTTAAGATGAATGAACTAAATATACATGTATCATTATGGATTAAAATTCAAAACGGTACTATACATTGCTTATAAATGCGTATATGTATAAAAAGTATAAAACTTGTTTAGAGTGAAAAATAACAAATTTAGAGTGGTATTTTTCTCTGAGGGGTAAAGGTAATGCAATCAAAGAGGAATACACAAAGCGCTTTACTTATACTCATAATGAATATATCTAAAGCAAAAATGGCTACATATTAAAATTTGACAAGATTGGATGAGGAGTGTCCTAGTCTATTATGTGCTGCCATAACAGAATACCTGAAACTGGGTAATTTATAATGAACAGAAATGCATTTCTCACAGTTCTGGAAGCTAAGTCTAAGATCAAGGAACTTGTACCTGACGAATGCCTTCTCAATGTGTCATAACGAGGTGGAAGACATCACATGGTGGATGGGCAAAGAGAGAGCAAGAAAGTGAACAAAAGGGGGTTGAACTCGTCCTTTTATAAGGAAGCCACTCCCGGGATAACAAACTCACTCCTGTGATAACAGCATTAATCCATTCATGAGGGTGTTGCTCCCATGACCCAAGCACCTCCCATTAGTCCCCATCTCCAAATATCTCCAGATTGGGGATCAAGTTTCTAACACATGAACTTTGGAGGATACATTCAAACCATAGCATTCCGTTCCTGGCCCCCAAAGTTCATGTCCTTCTCACATGCAAAATCCATTCACTCCATCCCAATAGCCCCAAAGTCTTAACTTATTCTGTGTCATCTCAAAAATCCAAAGTCCAGTGTCCCATCTAGATCAGATATTGGTGAAGTTGAAGGCGTGATTCATCCTTAGGCAGATAAATTCCCTTCTAACCATGAGCCTGTAAAATCAAACAAGTTATCTACTTCTAAAATACAATGGTTGGTCAGGCAGAAGAAAGATATCGGGAGATACAGGAAAGAAGCAGGAAGTGACAGGTCCCAAACAAGTCTATTACCCAACAGGGTGGACAATAATAAATCCTAAGTCTTTGACTCCATTGCCCACCTTCTGGACACACTAGGGTGGAGGGTGGGACCCTAAGGCCTCAGGCAGGCTGGCCCTGTGGCATTGTGGGCACCACTCAACAGCAGCTCTCCCAGGCTGGTGTTACATGCCAGAAGCTCTACAGCTCTGGAGTCTCAGAGGTGGCTCTGACCCCACAGTTCTGCTCAGTGGGCATTGCCCTAGCGGGAACTCTCTGCAGCAGCTCTGCCCCTGTAGCAGGTTGCTGGCTGGGCCCCCAGGCTGTCTGATACATCCTTTGAAACCTAGGTAGAGGCCGGCATGGCCCGACAGCCCACTCATTCTATGTGCCGGCAGATTTAGCACCACAAGTGCACTGCCAAAGTTTACTGCTCGTGCCTCCAGAGCTGGGGCCTGAGCCATACTAGGCCTCCTTGAACCACAGCAATCTCTGAAATGCCTTCAGAGTCATTCTCCCATTGTCTTAATGAATTGCATCTGGCTTCCTTCTATATCTACCAATCTCTTTATCAAATGTTTGCTTGGCTGATCCCTTCTCTGCTTTTTCATTCTTTATGTGGCCAGGATGGGAATATTCCAAATTTTTATGTTTTGTTTCCCTTGTAACTATAAATTCCATCTTTAAGTCATTTCTCACTTCTCTCATTTTACTGAATGTCATTAAATGAAGCCACACAGCTCCAATATTTTGCTTAGAAATTTCTTCTAGGAGGAGTACAAGATATAAACGTTTTGAGAATCACAAAGTTACCAAAAGGTAAGTTCTCAAAATGTTTCCACCTGGACACACACAACAAATGACATTTACATTCATGCTTTCATGGGCATTCCAGAAATTATCTGTGATGAAATAAAGCATTACAGTAATTCTCAATGCCATAAATATGAAATGTAGAGAAATAAAACTGTGCTCACTAAAAATAATAGGGAGCAAATTTAGTGTAATTTTTGCTGCTCTAGTTAATAACTCTACTCCTAGTAGTTTTACTTACAAAACAAAACAAGCTTATCAGAAAATATATCTATGAGAATGAGGAGATAATTCTAGAGTAAACTTCAATCCGCACTAATTTATTTGTTTAATGAAAGTTATTCACAAACATTAGTCATTTATGATCTGGAGAGTTCCATCTCATGCCACTTTTGCCTGGTTCACTCTACCTTTGTGTGAATCACTGAACTTTCTCTAAGGCTCAGAGCCTTTCGGTATGCCATTCATTCCTGCCCCTCCGAATTGCTCCTCAGCCCCTCCCCACATTCATGTGGCTTGGTTCTTCTCACTGATCTCCACTAAATGATTCCAGCTCAGAGAAGCCTTTGGGAAACAACAAAAATAGTAGGAGCCACTTATTTACTTTTTTTTTTTTTCTTATTTCAAATGTAACATTTATTTTTCTTTTTTCTCTTATCTGTCTCTTCTACAGATTGGAACCAGCATGGCAGGCAAGTGCCTATTTTATTCAGTAAAGTGAAGTTAGAAGCTGAGGCAACGTCTGGCATACCTCGAGGGTCCCGACAGATATAGGCTGATCAAATGACTACATTTGAAACACATTTTTAACTTATATCTCACAAGTAATTACAAAAGTGGTAGCAACTCTTACTTTTTAAAAAACAGTAATTTGATTCCTGTTGTTACTATAGGAAATGATCTTTTTTCAGCCATTGTAATATATACATATATTTTACCTTGGCTTTTCTTTTACATTATTCCATGAACCAGATTCTTCACTAAAATATTAATACTACACAAACTATACCTGAGATTTACTTAATCTAGTTTTCATTTATGGTCATAATAATATTAATGAGGCACCCAAACAAAATCATACCATGGCTGAAAAAATTATATCAACTGGCTAGAGTAGCTACCTAGTACTCGAAATTAGTATTTCCATTAGTAATCAAAGGAAGCTTATTTTAATTATCTTAAAATACATTCATTTTTTTCTGAATTCATAATTATTTTAAAGTTTTCAATATAATAGAGGAACTTCTCTGACTTCCAGATTGCTCAGCACCTTCTTAATGTTTTATTAAACTCTACTTCTTCTATTGTTTTTGATGAAGGAAAGAAGTGATACAATTAATGGCATAGGTCAAAACACAGACCTCGAAAAAACTTCTAAGTCTTGGGTATTGCACTCAACCTTCTCAATAACATCAAAAATTTTGAGAGGCACTCAAATACCTGTCAGTTGAAGGCATGAATAAAGAATGAGCTAATACATTGTCAAGAGGCAGAATTCAAGAAGATCAGAGCCTTCAGTAGCAAGATCCTTATTATTCCTATTAAAGCACAAAACTTACCAGTGTAAAAATCACTTCATATATCAATTTTCACACAAATCGAAGTTTAAATTAAGCACATATACACTGAATACAAAGTATAGGATAGAGTCTATTTTGAGCTATGATACAGACAGCAAATGGTCCTTAAGTTTAAAGAATCCAGGGTCTAGGACTATTATAACAAAAAACCAAAGATCACTTACAAAAGTTTTATTGATATTGAAAGAATGCACAAACTCCTTATCCTGATAGTTATATGTCTGCACATTTTTTACCAGAATATCCTCCATTTTCATAGCATTAGTCACATAAATATAATACATATACTCCAGAAGCAAAGTCTAAATGTTATGGTCAGTACAATTTAGGAAAATAAATATTTGGGTTCAAATCCCTGCATATTAGTTATTTATATACCCTTAGTCCAATTATATTAATAATACTTAACTCTTATAAACTCAGTTTTCTTACCTGTAAATCTCATAAAAATGTTTTGGGTATAAAATGAGAAACATAAATTAAAAAAAAAAAAAAAACCAGCAAAATTTCAAGAATCTTTTAGGCTTTTGGTTCCCAAACAGACTACCAAGGCACCCTGGAGAGCTGTAGTGAACTCCCAGGGGCACTATGTATATTTTAATTTTCAAGGGAACCACAGAAACATCCACTGGACACTGCAAAAAGTGCTACTGTTTTGTTGTTTGGATCTAATTATTTAATTAAAAAACTGTTAGATGTTCATTTTTCCTAGGGGCACTGTGAAAAAATTACTGAGAACTAAAGGTGACATAAATCAAGAAAATTAATAAATCTCTATTTTGGGGTGATAAATGATTTCCTGCCACCTTCCCTCCTCTCTGGGTCAATGAAGATGTCCTACATGCAGTATTTTCTTCTTTTTCTTTGTTTAATTTATATTGTAGAAGTCAAGAAACACCCTTTCTTGCAAATTCAATTTTTAAAGCTAAATTAGTAGGGCCCTTGCTTGTAAGCAACAAAAACCTAATTCTGACAAACAGGCAGGAAGAGGAATTTTTTTGGAAGAACATAGTATAGTTCCCCAAATCATCAGGAAGCTAAAGAAACAGTCTGAAAATAAAGAAGAAAGGAGACTGGACCATAGGAACGAGGGTCAAGGTGGAGATATAGAAGCAGCCACGTAAGACGCTGTGCTGGCGCTGCTGTTGCAATGGCCCTGCTCGCTGCTGCGCTGACCTCCACTACCAAGGGCAAGTGTGAATCCTAACCTGCCACATCTTAGCATCACCTGATGCACAAAGCCCCTCAGGAGAAGTCCCAATAAATGAGCCTTAGCTTGAATGAGGTGGAGAGAAGTAGCAGCTACCCTTTTTGTAGCATGAAGTAAGACTGTGTCTCCCACCAAAGTTATCTATTGGAGCATTATCCTAAACTGGAAGGATGTCCAGATTCAGCAAAAGCAAAAGGACACAGTAAATGTCCATCACAAAACCCTGAGCACCTCAAGGACAGCTCAAATTCCACTCTGGCAAAGTAAACACGTTGATTTGCTCATCAAACTCCTCATTTCCCTATATTTTTATGACCTCTTATTAAATACCTCTATTATAATAATTATTAGTATCTATCTAACTTTTATTAGCCATTTTTGTGTTTTCCTATTTCACTAGATTATGAGTTTTATGAGGGTAGAAGTCATGCCACTCTTATTTCTCAAAATCTTCCATAACATTTAATTTTTTAATTGCAATTTTATATGAAATAGTAAAACATCCAAATTGAAAGGGAAAATATAAGTATGTTTTCTTTGCTATGATTATTCAGTTTTAATGGACTATAATAAATTTAACTAGGTCAACATTTCTAGGAGAATGTCTCAACAAATAACAGAAATTCTTTGGCGTATTTATGAAAATAAGTACGAGAAAGTTATAAACACCCTGTATTGAAAGTTCCTCATGTATGTTAATCACATTCAAAATTCTGAGTATTCCCTATGGTAAGAAAAATATATTTAACTTTGTTTAACCAATATGATCTAATATATCAAACATATATGTTTATTAATAGTGTGGTTTATCACTTTTACCCAATCTTTTAGAATACTTAAAAATCATCTGTTAGCCTGCAGTTTCTCTCTCATATTTGAGGCACTATACAAACAAATAAAGTTAGTATCTAAATACTTTGGAGATATCTATTCAAATAATGACTATCTGTACTTTCAAAGAAAAAAAATAAAAGCAGTCAATATATACATTAACGTATGCTCTTTTCATCTTTGTCAGTGTGATTATTATTATTATTATTATTCTTTTGTTTTCTATATATTCATATATCTGGGTAGGCATTGGCTGTCTTACTGTGGAACTCTGTGCATAACTAAGTGAAAAGAGAACAATCTAATGATTGTACAGAATGATTTTTTTTTCAATCTAAGTCAGAGTGTATGATTTTTTTCTTTTAGGAATTAAATCCCATCCTTGGTAAATATCAACTGCTGTAGTTACCTTAGCCAATAACTGTAACAAGAGTTATCAAGGATTATTTCACTGGTAAAATTCTTAGCCTTGGCTGCCTTTGGAAGTAACTTTTGCTTTTCAAAAAATTCATTAACTTAATATATGATCATTCAAAAACATGTCATAACACTGAAAACAAATAAATGTATTTCTTATCAAGAGCCATTCCACTTTTTTTAAAGCGTGAAAAATATTTGAAAGAGAAATTTACTACCTATTAATTGCAAGTGGATGTGGAAATTTTCCAGAACTACTGAGAAGCTGCATTACCATCAGCCAGGCACCTACTGTTTATCCTGTCAGTGACCAATGTAACAGGAAGGGAATATCTCTGGACTTCAGCACTTTCACATCACCACTGTTGTGCCTGGATGAATTTCATTTAGCAACTGCTGGAGTTCAGTGTTCGAAGAACAAAATTTAATATTCAATCAAGACTAACATGAATCTATTCTA